GCATTTAGCATAAGATTGGTGTTTTCGTAATGGGTTTACACACCGAATCATTAGCGATGAATAAGGTTATTAAAATGGCATGTTCGCTCCAGTTGATGTTGCCGTAGTCCTTATAATAATGTTTTATGTTTTATACCAAGCGATCTGAAAATATCAATAATTACTGATTTTTAATTGTTTGCAGAATGAAGGATTAGAGATCAAGCTTGAGCAGTTGATTAGGTAATCTTCGTGTGAATACAGTTTCGTCATATTTTGGTAAATTGCCGTAATACGTAACATGTATTGTGTTATACCGTATAATGAAGGAGTTGTAATTTCTATTATTTGTATAAGCTAATTAGATATTATCATTGTAGTTTAGTGGTTTGTGGTAAGATCTCTGAGAAGCGATCAATCCCATGTTTGTTTAGTTCTATAATTGTTGATCAAGTAGCATTGTAGCCACTAGTTTAGGTGAGTCGACAACGCATGCACTGTGTTGGAATGTTAAGCAGTGGTTGGAGGTATTTACACATCGAACATCTTTGTACTTCTAATCATATTGCTACAGAGTCTTAACAATCCTATTTGATGGTTTACCGTGTTTATGAACAAATATGCTTGAATAATGTAGGCATTTTCATCTAAATCTCTAGGAATACATGTAATAAGTTGTATTTCTGCTGTTTACCAATCTTTCGTAATCAATAACCATGCATTATATTGTTGAATCTCAGTGAAACGGGAGATTGTAGGAGCAATTACATTTGCTGTATATTTATGCTATTGAGTCGCATCCGTTCAGCATGATCTTATCAATTCATTCAGTCTTTTGAAGTTCACAACTGAGTTTTTCATTTTAATTACAGTTTTATAAGGCTCATCACTATGTAGTAGGCTCTGGACACATGACCTAGTCTATCGGGATGTTCAGAACTAACCATGTGGATCAGACATATTTTCCTTGCACTTATACAGAACTGTTATTCTCTACGAATACGAAGTTGTAGTGTATTTCCCTTCGCCCCCAAATGCCCTGGTACGGCCGAGAGTGGGGAGAGTCCGCTCTCCCTCTCGAAATGCTCTCACATGGCCACGCGTACATAGCCCCTGCCAGGGAAGTCCTACTCACTGCCTTCACGTGGCGGGGGTGTTGTTTACGAAAATGAGAGGACGAAAAGCGAATGCCCGGCGCTTTAACCGGACCCCAAATCAATGGTGCACATGGGCTCCAGTATCCTGAAGGAACAAATGGCGTATGAACCAATCGTTGGTCACCGGCTACCATGGGACTGCATCTCCTCACGATGCTCCACTGCCTTGTGGATCAGACGATCAGGTCAAAGGCTCGGGGTGTGGCCCCCTAAGACAACCACCTGCTTCGGTTTGGGCACCCGAGCAGTATCACAGCCCTCACACAAATCAATTGAGATTCGTGTGGCGCATATGTATTTGGTGTCTCCTTGTACCAATACCTATGTGTTAAAATAAATAAATAAGTATTTCCCTTCAAACTGATAACATTAAGTAATGTCTTAAATGTGTTATTCTCATGTATAGATTACTCTCTCCATTCTTGTTTAACTATGTCATTGACGTGCTTTTAGAGATAACTCTTTCCACATCTGACTTTCCAGGGCTTGAACTTCTACCGGGAAATTCATTTATTGACTTAGAGTATGCTGATGACATAGTTCTATTTAGTGAGGACGCTGACAAAATGCAGTCTGCTGAGCACTCTAAGCAACAATGCAGGCATGTTAGGGATGCGATTCTCTCCCTCAAAATGCAAGATGTTGCTTCAGGATTGCGTTGCATCGACACCCAAACTAGTGATAGGGAGTGAAGTAGTTGAGCGTGTCGACCGCTTCACTTATCTTGAAAGTCTCATCAGCCCTGGTGGTCTGGTGTGTGACGAAATCTCAGCATGGATACAAAAGGCTCGACTGGCTTTTGCCAACTTGCGTCATTTGTGGCGTAGGCGAGATATCCGTCTATCAACCAAAGGACATGTTTACTGCGCAGCAGTTCGTTCCGTCCTACTTTATGGCAGTGAAACATGGCCAGTAAGAGTAGAGGATATTCGTAGGTTACTAGTATTTGATCATAGGTGTCTTCGGAGCATCGCTCGTATATCATGGGACTATTGAGTAAGTAATGCAGTTGTTAGGAAACGTACGAAGTTCCACGTTGTTACTAACCGACTAACTGACATGTATAGATTTATGTTTGTTTGCGTTTTTACTTACTTACTTCCGCCTATTACTCCCAATGGAGCATTGGCCGCCGACCAGCATTCTCCAACCCACCCTTTCCTGGGCCTTCTTTTCTAGTTCCATCCAATTCTTGTTCATTTTTCTCATGTCGATCTCCATTTCTCGGCGTAATGTGTTCTTTGGTCTTCCTCTCCTTCTTCGGCCTTCAGGATTCCATGTGAGGGCTTGTCTTGTGACGCAGTCCGGTGCTTTCCTCAATGTGTGTCCTATCTACTTCCAGCGCTTCTTCCTGATTTTTTCATCCACTGGGATCTGATTTGTTCTCTCCCACAGTAGGTTGTAGTTGATAGTGTCTGGCCAACGGATCTGAAGTATTTTGCGTAGACAACTGTTAATAAACACCTGTATCTTCTGGATGATGGATTTCGTAGTTTTCCAGGTTTCCACCCCATACAGTAGAACTGTCTTGACATTTGTATTGAAAATTCTGACTTTGGTGTTGGTTGTCAATTGTTTTGAGTTCCAGATGTTCTTCAGTTGTAAATATACTGCTCTTGCTTTGCCAATCCGTGCCTTCACATCTGCATCAGATCCACCGTGTTCATCGATGATGCTGCTCAGATATGTAAGGGCTTTTACATCTTCCAAAGCTTCTTCGTCAATTGTGATTGGATTGGTGCATGCTGTGTTTTATCGGAGAATCTTGCTTTTCCCTTTGTGTATATTGAGACCTATTGCTGCTGCTGCTGCTACACTGGTCGTCTTCTCCTGCATTTGTTGTTGCGTATGAGATAGAAGAGCCAGATCATCTGCGAAGTCTAGATCGTCCAATTGCATCCTAACTGTCCACTGTATCCCGTGCTTCCCTTCAGATGTTGACGTCTTCATGATCCAGTCGATCACCAGGAGAAAGAGAAAGGGTGAGAGTAAGCAACCTTGCCTGACACCGGTCTTTACTTCGAACGACTTTGTCAACTGTCCTCCATGAACGATTTTGCAGTTTAATCCATCGTAGGAATTCCGTATGATATTGACTATCTTCTGAGGCACGCCGTAGTGTCGAAGAAGCTTCCATAGTGCTGTTCTGTCCACGCTATCAAATGCTTTTTCGTAGTCAATGAAGTTGATGAAGAGTGATGAATTCCATTCAATCGATTGTTCCACAATGATCCGTAGAGTTGCGATTTGGTCTGTGCACGATCTATCCTTAAGGAATCCTTCCTGTTGGTCGCGAAGTTGTGCGTCTACGGAGTTTTTCATCCTGTTTAACAATACCCTTTTGAAGACTTTTCCTGGTATTGAGACAAGAGTGTTTGCGTTTTTACTTAGTGACATTCAGGTTAAGCGTCTACTTCCCCAACTTTATGTGCAGTGATATGATGAAAAATATATCACAGTGTATTTAGGTTTCTTTTAGAAATGCGAACAAGTGCAAATTATCAGAAACCATAAAATGTCAATCTAATCCGTTGAAATCATGTGACGAGATTCTTTCTATATTATTAAGAAATTACATTCTAAAAGTCAATGTAACAGTTTGAATAATAATATTAAAGTATATGTGATATGTTTTTGAGTAGAAAAGTGATCGATTTGTGGTTGAACACTTCTAATTAGACCTAGAATTACTTAGGAATTGGGTCATCCAACTGTACTGTGCATGATTTTGCGTGGTTAAACAAATCTTTTCTCAATCTTTGATGACTATAACTACCGTGGTAGTATTCACTAAATCTGTTGTAAATTTCTTTCATATTTCCTAGTGGAAGTTATTGTGGAGCGAAATATTGTAAATTGCGTATTCGGATTGTTTCTGTGTGATTCTCGGAGACTTAAAATATCTATCGTTGATAAGTTTTAAGCTGTGGACGCTCGGATTAAATGCTTCATGTTGTTAGTTCCCAATCATTTCCATCCAGTACTTTCTCAACTTCGTAAATATTGTGAGAATTAGAAACGTTTATTAGAATTATATAGTCTACTTTTCATCTTAATTTTTTCATTTCTTCATCAGATAGTCGAAGTATTTATTTCGTCCCTTAAGCTTAATTTGTTTTCAATCGAATCTCTGACAGTCTTTTGTTTTTATTGTGAAAAGTTAGTTGGAAATTTGGTGAATTCAGTTTTATGTTTCATTACTTCCTTATACTAATATCTATGCCTTTTCCGGTCAAGTGATTCCAACTTGTTTTCAAAATACAGTGCATCAATCACAATTGATTGATCACTGAGTGGTGATCAATGTCCTCTGTGTCAAGTCCTCAGTGCATCAATCCCTAACTTCTAGGTTGATGCAAGTAATTGTAGAATTTTTCATGTGATCTTGTGATGTTCATCAAATTAAGTGGGAATCCATTTTTCTAGCCTGTAGCGTACCGAAAAATATTCTTTTAAACTAAATTAAATCCGATAATATAGAGTGCTTTGGTTTGAATGTTTATTTATAATAGAAATGATGTTTAATTAGTAGTTTCCATGTTTATTGACATTCTATATCAAAGGTCATTTGTATCCTCTGAAAAATCCTCGCTTTTGTAGGAAATTGAACCCTACTCCTTCAGCATTACAGTCAGAGAGATCAGTAATGTAATGAGTTATTCAGTCAGTGATTGATTGCTAAAGGTAATCAAGTAGTGGTTGTCAAACGTGGGGATTTTAAGTCTCACACATCTACAAACATCCTTTCACTGAAATAGAGGATTCCGTATTTCGATTTGTATTTCATCTAATTAGTCCCTAATGCTGTTGTTGATGTTCTTCTTGATGGATCTTTTTATATTTTCCCTACAGAACTAAGAAACTATGGCACGTCATTACCTGTTTTCCGCTGTGAAATTACTCAAGCAGAAATGCTTTCCATCCCTCAGTGGAACGAAAAGTTGTCAGAATTTTTCCAGTATGCAAGTCGACGAAACAGAAGGCGCTAACTTCAAACGCTTTGCCCAGTATTGGTGGGACTATGATGGTGAGTGCTGTATAATTTCTCACTATTTGTCTCGATACTGCTTTTTGTTTACTTGGACATGTTTGAATATTGTGTGGGTTTTAAGTCACAAGGCTCGACAGGTGATCCTAAAAGTCTTCTTAATCCTGTTTACTGTTGTGTATATTTTTAAAAGGTTATATATTCATTTTATGCTACTTTGAAAATTATTATTGTCCACTGTTTATTTGGAGAACTGACTTAATGGCTAAAGCATTCACCTTTCTCAACCAGTACGCTTCTTGTTCTGATCTCAAACCACTTTGATTTTACTGGTTAAGTAGTATCATTGATGCTCTTTCAAACAATGGATCTCAAAGTCGAATAGTTTAAAATCTTGGTAAATAACTTATATGTTATTCACATATGATATATGTTTTATATTGTGACTCAGTAACTAAAATATTTGACGAACTAATCTCCAAACGCAAACTTTTTCATGATTTATGGATATACAAGCAATCTGGGGACTGAATTACAGTAAACATGTAGCGTCATAGATTTAATCAACTCAAATATCAATGAAATGCCTATTATTTACTTACAGGAAGTGTGGTATATTTATAAATCTTTCTATTAACTTTAAGCAATATCTCAAGTATATATGCTTCATGAACTGTTAAATTGCATGTTCTGTCTTTCGCAATTGTTTTCTGCCTTTGAGATCAATAAATGGTAAGTGTTTCTGAGAAGGTTCTTTTAATTTTAATGGTGAATTCGTAAGTTTCTTCTAATTCTTTCTTAAATGTATTAGTTTACTTTAAGATATCTTCATAAGTTTATCTCTTCAGTTCATAATATTTTAAGTTAGCTTAAATTTGGCGACCTTCCTGAATATTTGGGTTACCTGTTTCTGACATCAACATATCTCGACAAGTTATGTGTCTTTTGCGTGTTTATGAAGAGCTTACGATCCTTCGCCGTACAACTTACAAAAGAGTATGATCAGAGACATTGTGATGGATGTCAATATGCATTGAAAAGAATGATCATTGTTCAGATGTCGATTCTTGAACTGCTAACATCTAACTGGTGATCACTCAATATTTATCGTCAGGATAGCCAATCGACATGACCTTCAGAGAAACAGTTGAGTGCCTGACACGTATATTCGGTGAACGATCATCAGTTTTTCACACTAGATTCCAGTGTCTCCAGCTTGTGAAAAAACCACAGGACGATTATATGACGTATGCAAGCATCGTGAACTGGGAATATGAGCGGTTCCGTTTACAGGAAATGTCTTCAGATCAATTTAAATGCCTTATTTTCGTATGTGGGTTACAATCTGCAGCAGATGCAAAAATCAGAACACGTATTTTAACAAGAATAGAACAAGATCCTAATATCAGTCTGCAATCAGTATCTGAAGAATGTCAAAGAATGGTTAATTTGAAGCATGACACAAATCTAGTAGAAAAGAACAGTGAACACGTGGAAGTTAAAACCTTGCAGAAAGCTTTTAATGGAAACAAGGATCAGTACTCTCACCAAATTCCAAAGCAAAGGAAACCCAAAACGTGTTGTTGGCGATGTGATAAGCGTCATTCTCCTAACGTTTGCTATTTTTAAAAAAGAGCTTGTTTTCGATGTGGTAAATACGGTCATGCTCAAGTATGTTGCAAAAGGGGACAAAAGATTGTCGACCATCAGAGTAAAGCTCGTAAAGGAAATAATACGCAGACATCAAAAGGGATCCCACATAATTCGAGTGTCATTCTGACCACAAAAGGTGCTCATTTCTCATCTAAAAGGAAATATGTAACTCTGTTTTTCAATGGTAAGCCGGTCAAGCTGCAAGTTGAAAAGGGATCCGACATAACATTAATTTCTAGAGAGACGTGGATAAAACTTGGTCGACCTTGATATCACCCTACATTTTACAACGCTAAGAGTGCAACAGGAACTAATATTACTCTTCTTGGAGAAATGCAGCTACCTCTCACATTAGGTGACAAGACTATGACCGGGAAGTGTCATGTGTCTGGAAACTGTCATACCAACTTATTAGGTATTGACTGGATAAATAAATAGACTTCGCGAGGGAGGTGATGTGTGGGCGAGGACGATCATGATTGGTTGTCTGTTTAGTCAGACATGTAGACAGTCTGACAGGTGTCAGATAAGGGTTAACATTAATTTCATACACATAGTTCCCTTTATCATTTTGAAAAGAGCAAGAACAAACATTCTAGCAGAATAGCATGAATTCATTTTTATTTCGTTGGTTCTCGTCAGCTGCTTACATCCTGTGATACTTAAAATTATAAATACATAATGGGTTTAAATTACTTACATGAAAAAGTTTGATTGGAAGTTATATTGAAGACGTATTCGTATAGTATAGCAAGGGCGAAAAGAAATTTAATAGACTGAATATTGTAAATATATACCTTATATAAAAGAACATTGTGACAACAGTTCAAAGGGCTAGAAACAAGTAAACATTGATAGGAATAAAATGAGTAGAGTTCAGTTTATAAAAATAAGATTAAAAATTTTTTGGAAGATAGTTGGAATAAAACTCAATGATGTGATAAGTGCAAGAAGGAGTTTAAAGAAAAAGAAAAAAATTATTAACATACAGCGAAGAAATATTTGTCACCAAGGCAAGGAAAGATTAATAACCATCTCCTTTTGAACACATAAATCAGGTTTTTGGCGTCTGATAGCAACTGCTTCAGCAAACTTCAGAAGACTGGAGTTTGGCTGCTTACTAATCACCTTGAACGACTGTAAGGTATCGACCTGATGTCCTGTATCAAGGAGATGTTTGGTGATTGCACTATTTAAAGTCTTTCTTTCTCTTGTTCTGAGGCTTTTTGGAACATGTTCAAAAAAATCTGAGATATGCCCTCCTTTCTGTTCGGCCAATGTAGCTGCTTTGGCAGGTACACGCAAATTTATAAATACAATTGGCGGTAACATGAAAAGGATGCTTATCAACCTTTGATTGAGTTACTGAACATATTGTTTTATACAAAATTAGAAGTTTGGCCGCCGGGTAAGTTCTGGCTAGCGCAGTATTCATCGTATGCTGGCCATATTCCCTTACCCTTATTATTGTGACTCACTTATATACATCCTATTGTTATTGATTGTTCATTGTTGTGGATTGTGTCGGTTTTTGGGTGTGAAAATATATTACGTTCTGGTCAGGCTGATTACGTGTTCTTGATCTGAGTTGTGTTGAAGTCCTGTAGAATAGAAACTGGGAGGGATCTAGTGTAGATAATCGTTTAAGCGTTACAACATCAGACAAGTAATACCGAGCGTTATAAAATTGGCGACGGAGCGTTATAACATTTTCTTAATAGACTGCTCCCCGAGCCTTTAACCTATAGGTCCAATTCACAAGGCAGTGGAGCAACGTTAGGAGATGCAGTTTCATGCTAGCTGATGACCGATAATAGTTTCATACGCCATTTGTTTCTTGAGGATCATGAGCCCATGTGCATCATTGGTTTGAAATTAAGATTTTCCAACTCCCCTAAGTGTATCCTCTATATCCACCAACCTGGTTGAAGCACCGGACATTCGCTTTTCATTTTCTGAATTTCGTAAAAAACTCCCTCGCTTCGAGAAAGCAGTTAGTAGGACTTCCCTGGTAGTGGCTGTATACTCGTGACCATGTGATATCATTTGGAGAGAAAGAGAGAACTGACTCTCCCAACCCTCGATCGTGCCAGGGCGTTTGGGGGCCTGTTACCAATATAATCACTGTCGAATTTTAATTATAGAAAATAATATGCACTCATTATTACAAACAGTACAATGTACTAATTCCTTTTATTAGTTATACATCGTGTCTAGTTATTTCATTGCATCTCTTTACATATTGTCTCATTTGTTGACAGGTTGCATTCATCTTGGTTTCACTGTTCATTTACTTATATCTAGTATCGTATAAATATGTGATAGTTACATATGATTGTTGTAAACGGATAAAACTACTTTCTACCTGTATATTTTATTTTCAAAGGATATTTACAGCCATTGCATACTATGAATCGTTTGCGTGTACCATTTATTCAAAATGGTCTTTGTCCATTAACTACATTATCTACAATTGATTCAGTTTGTTTACCTTTGAAAGGTACGAAGATTTTAGATGTTGGCTGTGGTGGAGGTATTCTAGCGGAAGTGAGTTATTTCTTTTCATGTTTGCATTTATTTATCGCTCGTTAATGTATCTGCATAAATTGCATTTATAAAAATATGTCTTATCCGTATTCGAAGTTTTCACTTTATGAAATATCTAGTCGTTCACTTTTTTCTTACACTATTTAGAAGTGCCCATTTAGCCATTCTTATAATACTAGAATCAATAAACTGTTGATTATCAAGGTAGGTTGATCGACATGTTCTCATAATAACAACTTTTTCTGAACGTCGTCAGTCTGTGTTTCGTTTTATTAAGGTTTCATGATGAAGTGTAAGTTGACTGACAGTGATCATCTTTGGAGCTATCGATCCTGGTTCTCTGCTAGCTGAAGGTCATTTCCAGGACATATTTGTAATATTAAGGGATCTAATATGTGCCCTGTCACTTAATGTTACATTCTAAGAATTTACTAATAAGCTATTCGTTCGTGACTGGCCTCTTAGAGAACTGACGTATTTATACCGACTGATCGTTTAGTCACAGTCAATGTCAGGTTACCTAATCCTTGAAGTTGATAAAATCACATCGGTCTTGTTATAACGTGTGATCCGCCTATTAGAGAGCAGCCTATTATCGATCGAAACAGTGACGCACAAAATACGACCGAGCAGCCTAGAGCTCTGATTGGTCCTGCTTCCCTGTCTAGCCCAGCCAATTGAGTCCAGAACACAAGTCTCAGCCTCGGAGATATGAATCGTTATATTTCAAACATACACTGTTTATATACCAAACAACCAGACTACATCGTACCACAAAATAGAAAGTAACATTTGTACAAGATTTAACCTTCAGGAAATGACACAAATAAATATTGACCAATAAGGAGATGACACGTTGGAAGAATGTTGACCAATGGGGAAATGACACTACTTCTCATTCAGGAATAGCATTAGATAATTTCTGGGGTATTTTCTGAATACCCCAACAGGTCTAAAGATTAAATTAAAGATGTTTTAAGTGGTCAGATCAGAAGTTGACTATGGTTCATGTCATTCACTATAATTCACAGATTTGTACACAAATGTAAATTCTGTCAGGAGTTTGGGATATAGTTGTTTATTAGAAAGGATCGGGAAATTTATGCAAATGAATGAATGAATGGGATCGTATCATGTATTGGGTTACCGATTTCATTATTTATTTTATTTTAACACATAGATATTGGTACAAGGAGGCACCAAATACACATGCGCCACACAGATCTCATTTGATATGTGTGAGGGCTGTGATACTACCCGGGTGCTCAAACCGAAGCAGGTGGTTTTCATAGGGGGTAACCAAGAGGGAACCAAATATATATGCGCCACACAAAATTTTATTTGTGTGTGGGCTGTGATACTGTCCGGGTGCCCAAACCGAGCCTTCGACCTGTAGATCTGATCCACAAGGCAATGGAGCATCGTAAGGGGATGAAGTCCTATGGTAGCCGGTGACCAAAAACTGGTTCATGCGCCATTTGTTCCTTCAGGATACTGGAGCCCATGTGCACCATTGGTTTGGGATCCAGTTAAAGCGCCGGGCATTCGCTTTTCGTCCTCTCATTTTCGTAAACAACACCCCCGCCACGTGAAGGCAGTGAGTAGGACTTCCCTGGCATTGGTATCTGTCTTCAATCAATGATTCATATCGTTTGAGTAAACAAAGCTTTTCGAGTTAAAACACATTGTGTAGTTTAACCTGATTGCCAATATCATCTTGATAATTTATTGTCATCTCCAAAGCAGTTATATAATGTAACATACTTAATAACTCTTCAAATAACACATTACTTTACAGACTGACAAATCCGTCATCAAAATCATCCATTTATTTTTATGGTTATATTGTGAACGTTTGCTGACTAGTTATAAATTTACTTTTTGAAATGTTAGACGACGAAACATACATCAAACATTTGAAAAGCTTCATTCAGAGCGCTAAAATAGTTGCACTCTTATAAAAATGTTTAGGCAAATTATTTTTGTTAATATAATGATGGCATTCACTAGTCTAAGTGACTCGAAACTGTTTGCACTATGTTTATATACTAGGCGGTTGGGGGTAGTCTTCGAAAGACCTTGGATCAAGGTTTTGTTCTAGTTGACAATCTTAGTGAAACTGATTCTCCCGATGGGATTCGAGCCTACGTTTCTCTGCTACACAATGTTAGACGTTACAACTGGGTTTTTAGGACTGTGAATTACATCCTGCATCACTGTGATATTTATAATTGATTCGGAACGTTTTAGTGGATTTTATTAGATGTATGCCTTTCTGGAGAGTACTGACTGGGACGAAACTTCGGCCAGTGGTTTCATGTCGACTGCTTCCGACCACCTAATATCAAGAATGATAGTCATAGTATACAGTTACTAAGTTTCCATACGAATAATTATAATACAGTTGATTTGTTTACATTTTATCCAGTTACCCGCATATTTTTTTAGCTTTCAAGATTCCAGTCACTAGTGATCTATTGTGCAATTTGAGATTTTATCTAATTATTTACTTAGAAGATAAGTCGGTTAGATGATATTTCTTTCTGTCGAAAAAACCCATCACTTTTTAAAGATGTTTCATAAAAGTAGCTTTGGTTTCCTAAATCGCTTAATTTTTCAATTAATATTTCTTTTAATATTTTCATATTGTTTATCTTGGAATAATTCCCTACTAGGCACTATCTATGTTGGGAGCAGAAGTTTTGGGCATAGACTTAGTAGAAGAAGGTATAAAAGTAGCACAAGAACATGCTGAAGCTACATCTTATCGCTGGGTTGATCATCCAGATTTACATAAACCTACATATAAACTTACTAGTGTGCAATCAATTACTCAGGAATATCCATGTCAATTCGACGCAGTTGTTGCGTCTGAGGTATTAGAACACGTTACTGATTGGGAGGATATGTTGAACAATTTAAAACAGTGCTTGAAAGTAAGAAATATTTCATAGATATTCTTGAATATGCATATAATAGTTTTTAGTTCTTTAATTCCCATTATTCATCAAGTTCATATTTACTCTCAAATCCTTCAATAATAAACGAAACAGCATTCACGAAGAAATCTCTTCACAAACAAGTCATAAAACGTCAGAAATACAATTTTCTGCTCATTGAGATGTCATAAAAATATACTTATTACTAATAGATAATACGTTTTGATACATTAACACTGTACTCGATAACTTCTATCGTAGCTAGCTTCCCCGTGGTGGTTGGGCTTACGTATCTTGATGACTCGGTCGAGCTATATTAGGTGAAACAGTTGTTCCTACCATCCCAGGGAGGCCGGTTGGGGAACGTCAAAACTAGAAGCAGAAAACTCATGATTCAAGGACAAAGTCGTGCTGCTCACTGTACTGAATTATGGTGTCAGTAGGTTGTTTCCCTCATAAGTCAGCATCTACAGCGAATCTACCTTCGTACAACGAAAGCAAGATGTTAGAAATAGTCGATCTCGGAAATTTCATACCTTACCTGCATGCAACTTCTGATTACGATTACTAAAAGCCAACAAATATTGTGTCAAGAAATATTGTTTGCTGTCAACTTCGCTTTAGAAAAACACAGCAAATTTATTCACCGTTCGATATAAAATGAATTATGCTTTCAAGTCTACAAGAGAAGTGATAGCTTCGTTGTTTGATCATGACAACGGTCGTCAAGATATTGTATTTTATAGTACGTTTATCAAAGACCAGTAATGTGTTGTTTATGAGATATCTCAAACCAAGTATAGCAACGCTTCCACGATTAATTTCGATTATAGTTAATTGTTGTCAAGACCTTTTATTAACTTATTTAACAGACAATACTATTCAGACAGGAACAATTCGTCTATCTCTTTGTATTATTATGATCACTACCATGTCTGTACAAACATGTATGCTTAATTACACGTGACAACCTACGCGCATATCTCTCTAGATTAAATTTCAATCACTTAAATATCACTCGATGAATCATTCTCTTTCCCATGTATATAGGTGCTTGAATCACCTTGCATAGCTACGCCTTGATTCGATTTTATTGTAAAATCGCCTCTGTATTTGCTAGCACACACACAATAGTCTCTCCACTCCAATTCGCTCGATGTGCTTGTAATATTTTTATCTGTGCTATCCGCTAATAAACTGTAGTCGCCTCTTCTTATTGCCTTCTGAATTCAAACTTCGTCGAGTTTTCTATAATAACGGTTATCAACGTGTATTTATTATTTATTTATTTTAACACATAGATATTGGCACAAGGAGGCACCAAATACATATGCGCCACACGAATCTCAATTGATTTGTGTGAGGGCTGTGATACTGCTCGGGTGCCCAAACCGAAGCAGAGTTATCAAGGTGATTGATTAACGAAGCTGAGCTACTACAAATGTTTTGGAAACTTTGTAGAATACGATTTATCATAATTATTTTCGTTAGATTACGCCAAATATAATAGAGATTCGCTCGCATTACTCAGCTTTATGGTTGAAAATCTTCAAAGGCGAATGGCCGGTTAACTTAATCTGAATCAGTGTAATACTTTTGCCAATGAAAGATTGCTATCAATGTAACTGAACTTAAAAATACGTGACTATTTTCATACTCTCTTTTCTTTTTTCGTGTCTAAAAATACTGATAATATTTATCAAAATCATTTCATAAACATTTATATGAAGAATGAAAACGTCAAATTGGTAAACCAAAGTTTGTACTCATCAATGTATAAGTGGTTTGTTTCCAGATTTCAATCAATACTGACGGAATTACACGACCTTTCAGTACCGTTAGAGGTATGAGGGCGGTTATTAGTTCCCGGTGTCCCACACCATGAAAGTTTTCTAGAGGTACCTGAAAAAGAGATTGGGGCAGAGTTGATCTTAGTAACCTGCGAGCGTGACCGCAGTGCTCAAGGGATAACGTCTTGAGGCCGGTCACACACGACCTTTTTGTGAGTAATTTTCGTGTTAGCTCCATATTTGTTGGGACCTTACTGTCTAAAACGGAAATCCGTGGCATAGGACGAGGTGTTCATTTTTAGAATCGACATCTAACTCCATCCTTCCTTATGGGAATGCTACATCTCTGTTATGCTGGTTGTCTGGCGTCACACGTTTGTACAGTCAGCCGTACAACTTCGTCCTCGGACCTTGGGTTTGCTGCTTTTTGTCTTACCGCTCTTTAACTGACCTGTTTGGCATGGTTGGACCTTTGTGAACGTTTGTTCCAGCCAGTATAGCTCGATCGGTTCATCATGATAAAGAAACCCGACCACCACGTCAAGGTAGCGAAAACGGTCGGGTTACACGACCTAATTATTTTGAAATCTACTTCAGTTATAATACTTGTCGTAATTAATATAAATGAATTGAAAACGTACTGATTAGTTTCACACGAATTTAAAATTTTGTAGTTTATGCGTTCAACTCACATTCATTTGCTATGGATGTTTGGTTACAGAGTAACATAGGACTCTAACAACTTGTATAGCACTTACATTTAATGTATAGTTCATCCTTGAATCCATTAAACTGGACCTGAATGATGAATGATTTAGTGTTTGTTACTTTTTATATCTAGATGTGTTTAACTGACTTGCCCCTGGTACTGAAACCCTCAAATCTGATGATGTATAGTGAACATACAAAAGCTAGCAATATAGATCTATTTAAACTCGGAAATAAATAGAAATAATGTGTGAATCCACCACTTTTTATGTGATTTATTAACAGTCGAATTTTTGTAGTAATTAATATCAGATAATCACTAACTTTCTATGTGACCAATTCTTTACATTACCATACAATTAAGGGTCTATAACTAACAGATCGAACTGATTGACTAAGTCATATGATTGCCCCTTTTCAGGATGTGATTATATGTCATAGACAGTTGAGAAAAAATATTAACTTTATATGTCATCCCCACTTCCATCGATTTGTTCACTACTCACCATATCAGATTGTATTTTAACTCCCACTACTAGATTGTCAATAAATATTGGTCTCTGCACACTTTCTAATTATTTTGTTGATATTTTTGTTTTTGTGTTTTTCAATTAAACTCTGTTATTTAATTGATGTTATATATAATCTCTTCCTTCTCAGTTGGAAGGAATGTTATTCGTAACTACAATAAATCGTACTACCGCTTCATTACTGCTAGGAATTGGTGTAGCTGAATATGTAGCTCGTATTGTTCCACGTGGTACTCATGATTGGAATAAATTCATTGAACCTAGTCGACTACAGATTGCTTGCATCAAGCGTAAGTTCTAATGGTGGATTTTATTTTATTCCATTTTATTTGTTTTCTTTTTAGTTATTTGATTGTCTTGATTTCTATGAAACGGAATATTAATCATTATAATCACAATATTTAATAAGACTAAAATTAACCATCATGGTAATAACCACTTTAGGTTGAGGATAACGTAGTCTTCTAAGTAGTCAAACACTAATTTATATTAGTATTTGAGTTTGTGGAGATCCGACCCAGAACCTTCGGTCTAACGCATGAATGCTTAACCTCTAGACCACTAAGCCATTATTCGACGGTGTTGATGTCTAATTTCAATTAATCCACAATCTTGCACAAACCTTGATCCATTGCTTGCGGTCGATAACTTTCTCACCCAGCACGGATTAAACTCCACTTGTCACGGCTTCTCACTAGAACTCCAAAAGTTACATCTTGCAGCTCGTCACTAGTTAACTTATGATTATATTGGTATGAAGGTTATAGTATTTTTATGCTTGAAATTACAAATTGGTCTTAGCTGTATATAAACTTTTGACTCTAACCGTACTTTCTATTTGCTTTTTTTATTTACTTCTTTAGGTGGTTTGCAACCGCGTCAACTCAGCGGAATGTTATATAACCCATTAAGTCGTCGATGGAGTTGGAGTAGTAATTTATCATTAAATTATGCATTCAGTGCTATGAAAATCGATGAATAAATGAGATGAAGAACACCAATTATAAATGCATTTGTTCTTCGTCAACTGTTTCTTCCTCAATCTATTAATTTTAGTAAAAGCAAGGTGTGATCAATTATGACGAATTTATTGACACATTATTCCAATTGTTTATTTTCAATAACATTATATAATGAGCTGATAATTATTGTAAATTCTTGTCAACTCATTTGATAATTATCAAAAACTTAAACATCAGATTTTTTCAACTAAATGATTTACGGTATTAGCTTTTATGTATAATTAACTTGATAGCAGTCATGAGAGCTGATGTTGTAGAACATTAGTGTTTTATTTACCGTAATTAATGTGCATATTGTATACTGTTTTTTATGGACCTTTTACTTTGAATCGAACTTTCGTCTATGGTCACTAAATACAATATTATTTGTCTTTTGTCTTATTTCATTCGTACACATATATAGTAGTACAAGGAGGTACCAAATACATATGCATCACACAATAACAATGGGGTTGTCGAATGATAGAGAATGTAAAGTGCGTACAAGGAAAAGGAGGACAACGACGAACAGAAATTAGTGCATGGGAGTGAAATAATAATGGGAGAAACAGTTCATTTAGCAAGAATATCGCCAGAAAGAATCCTTTGAATTAAAAAAGTTACGTTCATTTCTTGTGAAGAAAGTTACAGCAAGGTCGCTACTGGCTCCTATTCTCAGCCATATCTGATTACGTCTCACCATCTCTAGGACCCCAATCAGGGAGTTGTGAAGGACCAACAAAGGCCAGTCCTGTGTAGCTTTCTTTCATACCACGACACCATGTCACACACTGATTACCCCAACTTTTTCCAACTAGTCGAAGCGTTGGAAAATAATGCAAGACGTGGAATTCTCTGGAACAACATTCGTAAAACACGTCACCGAAGTCGACGTTCCAAGATAATGACACCAATTGATTTATTGTCTCTGCGCCCAATCTACACGATGCCGAACCTTTGCATTACTAACATGGTTTTGCCACTGGATGCCAGCAATCCTTAGGAGACAACAATGATCAAACACAGAGTCGTCTGACATACTCAACTCGGAGAAGCCAGGTTTCACAAGCATAGAGCAGAAGTGCTCTCACCGACGCGTTGTAGATCCGACCTTCCACTCTCAGAATAACATCACGAAGGCACCAAAGATGACTCGGATTGGCATAAGCCACTCTGGCTTTCACTGTGCGTAAATTGGTCTTGTCACTCACGCCACCGCCAGTACTTATGCAGTTACACAGACACACGAACTCGACTGCTTCTGTGTGCTCACTACCCAAGGTGAGTACAGAATCAGGGTACTGCCAGTCTTGTAGAAGTACTTTGCACTTCGAAGATGCAAAGCACATACCATACCTACGAACACTACGATTGTTGACCTGTGATAAGTATGACGATGTTCTAACATTTGCTGGAGAGTGAACATATGATCAATGCATCCTCGACCAGAACGAAAACCAGCCCGCTCCTCGCGAATCAATCTTTCTCGGGTTTTGAAAGATTTATGAAGTATAATGGAAGCCAGTAGCTTGGACGCAATCTAAAGTAGACTTATCTTTCGGCAGTTATTGCATATGCGACGTGAACCCTTTTTAAAGATAGGGACAACTATCGACTCATTCCATGATGTTAGAACACTAATTGTCAGACCTTTGCAAACAACTCAGCCAGTTTCTTAACCAGGAAGCCACCACTATGCCTCAAAAGGACCAGAAGTAAGTCATCTTGGCCTTGTGATTTGTAGCGCTCTAAGAGTTGGTGTTCCTTGCTGACTTCCACCTTGTTTGGTGAATAAGTCGTCAGGGGCCATGCAGGACTAGATAGTTTGGTCGATGTTGCCGGGGAAGCAAATCAGTTGAACTGCCACTCAAGAAACCCTGTCCATCGTCCAAGACGTACTTAATTGATCGGGTGAATAGTCATGTCAAAAATAAATTTTACCAACTGCTGTGAAACATAAAATCTTGACTATTCAGCTAATGACGCTAATGAAAATTTAAATAGTCTATTTCCATTGGAAAGATGTGTCAGAGTTAATCTTTGTAACAATGATAAGTAGTTCATCAACTGCTACTCTTTGTCATAATTTTTGACATAATTCCGTTCATTCAAACGTATATTTCACACAGTTTATTAACATGATGTCCTGTGTGTTATACTCTGAGACGATGGGAAACAAAATCTACTGACAAGTAATTTGAATATGAATGAATTCTTACAGATTTTACTGACAATTTATCATTGAATTCTGAAACAATTCAGCAATTCTTTAAGTAATTGGTGAGTAATGAAATAACAATAGAGAGAAAAGTCGTTTGCCTTCAGAATAGATTATTTATAGTGTTAGACAAGGTATATTTAACAGACTTGCCGACCACTGAACAAACTTGAAATTACTCAATACTTCCCAAAACCCTGAATTCTGTAGTAAAACTGTCATCCGAATTTTAACTAAATCAAACGAGATTAAAGAGGCAATCATTGTATGCATCATATATTTTTGAATAAATTTATTATCCAAGGAATTCCGTTTGATAATGATTAATTTACAAAAGTTCATGCTTAGTGCATATCGTATTTATCCATTACTTAACGAGGAACTCATGGCAAGTGAATAAAAACTACAAGTTTTAATATCACCGTTCGCATGTAGTGAGCTATGTAGCGGAAGCATCAAGTTTATTTACAAGCTTTGGGTAGAAATTGCAACCTGTATTTATTTTAATTATTATTCTTGAATTTTTGGCTTAAATCACAATTCTGTTTAAGGGTTCGTTTCAGGATTACAAATTTCTGTTGCATAGAGTCATCTAAAATATATATAATCATTATAAAACCAGCCACTGATTTACTTTTTATGATGACTTATTAACATCAATTTCAGTTAATGTTCATCAGTCACAAACTGTTTAATTTATTCAGCAATCACACTTCTTAAGTTTTAGTAAATTACCAAATCTATTAAAAGTGAAGTAGTGAAAGAAACGTGATATTTACTGTGTTTGATAAATCTATATGACTTACTATCTAGTAGTTCATTTGAGAATTTATTCATTGTTCAATGATATGAAAGTCATTCAATGTTTTGTTTTTCATTAATTCTTCACCATAGTGTAGTATTTTTTAAACGATCAATCGGCGAGACTATAATTTATGGACGAACCAATCAGATATAAGATAACAGGTTTTAGATTCTGGCGCGTGATTTATTCATCCATTTGGCTAAATATAATTTTGGCATTATAGCTGATGTCAGTTAGTGAGGAAAACTTCAAATCTAATTCCTAACCCTAATCATCAACTGTGATTCTTAATTCTAATTCTTCATCCATGTTTATAACCCTCTTGGTCATAGTTGGTGGGCATTCGCAAGGTCACTGGCGTCACTCAAGGGTCATCTATAAATTACAGTTTCACCGATCAATCTTGTACTTAAATTAAATCTGCTAGTTTTGTTATTTCAATTGGCCCTTGATTTTTAATTGAAAATATGAACAAATTTATTCATTAATACGAAGTCAATAAATGTATTATTCATGATAACAGGCGTAAACAATTACAATTAAATGACCAAAAATAGTTCTTGTGGTTTCAGATAGATAATAGTCTGTTTCTATATTAAATAATGCACAACTTGCTATCATCGTGCTAGATGATGATGATTTTCCCTCTGGATAATTTGTTTGTATTACAGAAACAATTAGTTTATATCGGCCTCCATTTTTAATATCAAACGCTTTCAGATGCATTACAATCATTTGACGTAGTCGATTGGTTAAATTACATAAAAGCTCGTTCGATTGTGATTCTTGTCTACTTTTCATGTGATTAGATTTATCACCTTTGTAGTTTGACACAAATTGTTCAAGTACCTTATGGGTTAAATGTTAATATATATATATATAATCAGTGGTGTAAAAACAATTTTATCGTTCTCATGCAAATAAAATTTAATAAGTGTACACTGTTCTGAATAAGTGTGTTGGGAATATATACTCACGACATTCACATATACTACTTATTAGGAAATAAACAGAGTTCAAATACGTTGCATCGGAATAGGCTATTATTTTAGTTGTGGAGTACAAATTAATAACCAATAGTTTCTAAACTTCCATTTAGTTCCAGCTAACCTGTAGTTAGTGATGTCAAACAAATGGTGTACAATTACAAACTTTTGTGATGAAACAGTATTTCTACTTCTGTAATAATTAAATGACATGAATGAAATGCTAGCACAGAAATTAGAGACCCGTAAAACATAATATTTAAAAATATAAATTATGAATAGGTTTTTATGTCCTAGACAAAATTCTAAGAATCTGTGGTCCCTTTATCAAATCTCAAAGTACCAGTCCTAATTTATTTTATGACATATTCTATCAATAATAGAAGACTCTTAGTTAATAAATCCAAAGATTCGATCTAAGCTAAACCACCTTTGAAACCTGGATGGTCGTTCCACCCTAGAATGGGACTTCTCAGAAGTTAGACATTAACACTGTTGCATCCCAGCTCAGTGTTCTAAAGGTTAAGTGTTCGCGCGTGAGGCCGAAGGTCCTGGGTTCAAATCCCGAGTGCGGGATGGTGGATGCTCACTGTTAAGGAGTACCATTCTAGGACAAGACGGTTGTCCAATGCTTTCAGATATTCAATTTTGCTTTGAACTCAACTGTTAATATTGCTACATTTTCCACAAATCCCCATTCTAACAATATTGAATTCTTTCAAATTCACCTTTGTATCACTAACAATATCCGCGGACTTAAATGTGGTTCTAGTAACTCGGTACCTTCATGAAAAGCCCCATATTACATGAAGCATTAAATGTTACGATGAGTACATTAAAACATTAGGATATGGAATGATCAGTAGTAGACAAAACCAAATGTAACCTACCTGCTTTCTATTCATATGGATTTGTCTTATTTTGCATGTGTCTATCATCAGTATGTATAACGTTCTAAGGGAAGTGTTTAATTTCACACAAGTGTCTATTTTTATTACTCAGAATCTGTATAAATAAAGCAAAGCAACACTTACAGTTAATTAATCACTGTTTAGTAATCTATGTCATTTTTGTTTAGCCCCATAATACTAGTCGAATTCTATCAAGCAAGTTTCCGATATGGCTGCTAAATTATGCGACACAATAGTACATGCACCGTTTCGATATTAAATGGTCAGCAGAAAACCCTAAGTCTATGTTCCATTTTACTTGGCACACATCAATAAGACGTACCTTTAGTCTTGACAGAGACCGATTATCCCCGACAAATTCATAGCCAAGTTATTCAATTTCACAGTATGAGGTGTTACCATTATGCTATCCGGACCACAACTGACCTGTAATAGAAATTCATCACAGCTACCTCCAACCACTAACATAATAAATTAAAACTTATCAAATGAATAGTCTGTGACATTGCATATTCAAAGATATATATTTTTAAAGTTTCCTTGACTAGTTATGTCGTACATAAAATATTCACATAAATTAAGCATTTTCAACACTGTTAACCAGAATTCCTTGATACTTTTACGTTTAGGAAAACAGTCAATAAATCCTTACCTGACCGATAATAATTTTGCAAAGCTTAAAATTAAATTCCTTTCCGGAAAGTGGTTTCAGTCGATAAAGGCTTCTTTCACACATTTGTCTACTAAATTCATCAGATTTGAAACGAGTTAATCCTTTAGTGGACTTAAGCAGTTGATATAGCCTGACTTTTCGTTGATTTCTCTTAGTTGAATCCCCAATATCCATGATAATTGGAAGTTAGTGTTAGGAGGATAAAGTTTCCATCTTTAACTCATATATATATATATATATATATATATATATATATATATATATATCAAATGGCGTACGAGGCATCCTACTTTAAACAGTCTCCAGGATGTAACTGTTGCTAAGATACAAGATACTTTTTAGTTTACTTTACAACATCACAGAACTCGGAAAGGTTACTTTGAATTGTTTACAAATGTTTTCGATAGTATATTTGCATTAATTTACTTCCTGTAATCATCATCATCATTTAGGTATAGAATAAATTATCAATGAATTACCTTGTTTGATAAATACAATAGGAATATTTATTCTATTAAAAGGACATTCTGTTTGATAAATTTATTTAAAATATTAGAAGGGGTTTTGTGGATATTATAGTATTTTAAATGGTTGAGATCATGAGCCAGTTAAAGCTTGTTAGGTTTGAAGCTTAACAAGTTCACTTAGATTTGCGAACAAGAACGAGATTCGATGACCAACGACCAGTAAGCTAGCTAATGACGCGTCCCAGCCCCAGCTATCTAGAGGGAGAAGTCCAGGCTTGAAATGAGAAGTATATTCTGCAACAACCAGGAACGAGCGATTCAACCAAAACAATTTAAAACGTATATATACAATATATATAATCGATATTGTCATTTAAAATTTTAAACATTCATCAATAAGTTCATCAATTGATTGCTATTCAAATATTTAAACATTTAATCGATAAGTTAATCGATGAAATTACAAATGTGAGTTTTGGGGAATTTATCGTCCCCAACAAAGCTAGACCACCATGGAAAACCTGGAAGCACTGGACGGCCGTTTCGTCCGATTGTGGGACTCTTAAGCAGTGTGCATCCACGATCTCGCCCCCCGCGAGACGAAACGGCCGTCCAATGCTTCCCGGTTTTCCATGATGGTCTAGCTTCAACTGACTCACGATCTCAACCATTGGAATTATTTAAAATATTTAAGTTTTATTAGTAAAATAAAAACCACTCTCTTATTTAGCTCAATAGATAATATCAATTAGAACTATGGATTATTTCATGAAGTCAAGTCACATTGATACGTATTAGGAAAAACGAAATGTAGTTCCATTGGCCTACTAATTGTTATGTTAGTTTGGTTAATTTGATGAAATTTTTTAAATTGACTGGACTGATCGAACTACTGATTCGCTCTTGAAACTGGTTTCGCCAGTCCTAAATGGAAGAGACATTCGTAGATGTAACTATGAGTTACTTATCAATTGGACAAGGAACAAACACTAATCAAACTAAAGTTTAAGAGGAAAACAAACAAAGGCTATTCTTTTCTGTCAATCTCTTACCAATGTAACACTAGTTTAAACAAGGAATTTGACTAAATAAATTCAATTACCATTGAAAACTAAGAATTAGGACAGAAAACTTCGGTATATATGTATTTTCAGTAAATTCTCATCAGTAATCATGTTTACAAAAATAAATATTTATTCAGATCATGATTTTTAAAGATTTTGAAAATTATAAAACTTGATGAAAAATTACCGAAAATTCACCAAAAAAAGTTATTTTGACCGCACCTACTTGTCAGGGTTTATCGGATGTTTCAGACTAGATTTTTATAGTCCCAATATCGACTACCTACCGTAATGACTTACTAGAATAATTTAAATGGATAACAAACAGCTAAATCACATGTTTATGTTTGTTTTTTCTTTTGTTTAAGGGGTGAATTATCGGAAACCGTAAAATGTGTCAGAAACACACTAGTAGTCAGATTTGGATCTACACTGTGTAGAGTTCGTATTATACTAAGTGCTTTCTATTATAAGTGACAACTTGGATTAACACGATTTCTCGCTACAAAAGACTATTAAAATAAACAGGTGAGAGTGGGGAACTTGCATAATTAGTGACAGTCTGTACGTATCTCAACAGTTTTCACATACCTTTCGTTTGCAGTTCTATCTTTAACGATAAGGACATTTATGAACTTAGAGGAGGCGTCAATCAATGATTTAGACCTTTTCAGCCCTTCGACAAGTGAGTAGGAATAGGAGAAAAAAATGTAGGACAGGGAAACCGTTGACAATTTTTACTCAAGTGAATACACTAAAAAGAGCTCTCCAGAAGATCAGCTACTCACCAAACAGAATTTTTAATCGCTTTTAGTAAGGTTTTATTAGATATGTTGCACACAGTGACACTAAATCTAGAAATTATACACTTAGTTACTTCACTAATGATAAAGTTGGTGATGGCTACTGTTTTTAAAACATCTTTTAGATCTAAAAGATTTGTGACTTTGTTTACATTTAACATGAAGTTCCTTCCTGGCATCACCAACTCTGGAAGACGGCATAAGTGATTCCATCTTGAAATGTGTGACACTTAGTTGTTACCTCAAACAGTCTTATCCATACACTAAATTATTGATGTTATTAATTCTTAGTGCAGATGGGTTACCGTCAGGAGAAACTGTCTCAGACACTCTACTAAGACATGTGACTCAAGGCATAAGAACTTCTGTTTTATCTGGGGTCGCTAGATTTAGGACCATGTGTTTACTACCAGTGATCAATTAATTTAGTTCGTAGAATCTATAAGAAGCATTTGATTCAAATGGAAATCACACTTCCGAATTATTGGTCGTCACAACGTTTACGCTGACCTTTCGAATAAATCATAGTGTTTGAAACCAACTAATTTTTTCTACTTATTTACTGATGATTCTTCTAATTCAATGCTAGATTTGGTTCCTAAGCTCTTCTAATAACATCCAGGCCAAATCTACACATCGATTTGAACGCAATAAAAAACGTGAAACACGGAAGAAATGCTTTATCCCAAGGTTCGTTTATGTACAGAAATTCTAGGGTATATATAGTATTTTAGATGGCCTTAGACTTCCAGAAAATTCTGGAACGCTACTAAATATAGTAGCAGTACAGGTAGTCATCCAATCAGGAATGTGACTTCATTTTGCAGATGATCCTGGCAAAACTTATATTGAATGCTGATTGGATAAGATGCTTCTGTTTTTTCGGCGCGTTTTTTCTTTTTTCGAGTTTTCTAGATCTCTCCAACATTTATATAAAGCATAATATTATAAATAATGTCTATTTGCTATTCATTATTTCACCAGAATTAATCCTAGATTTACTGGGTCCTTGTTATTTTTTTCTATACAACTGAGCGGTATAATCAACTAGTCCATTAAAATATTGATAAGAGAAACTAGTCTTTGTTATAAATAAATAATATATTTGTAATATCCCAATGAGTAGAAAATTAGATTTTCTGACGTTTCGTGGCTTAGTGTAAGTCACTTCTTCAGAGAATAAACGTCAGAAAATCTAATTTTCTACTCATTGGGATATTACAAATATATTATTTATTTATAACAATCAACCCAATGCTCAATTTATTCGAAATTATCAAATCAAACCTTGGTAATGATACCTATAGTCTTTGTTATGTTTAATACTGACCAATCAGATTGACATTATAGTAAGCACTGTATCAACAGTAAATAAAATCTCTCATTTCAGCATCTTATATTTTAATGGCCCCGAGATCTGATTCCAGGTAGGTCGTTTGCTGCTTGTTATCGAAATATACGTATCGCCAATCGTCGTATATAACCATAAACTTAAATTACGTCGGCCAATAACGGAATTAAATAAGTCAAATACGAGAATGAATTTCAAATACGTGTATTTCATACAATCATTGATCCAGACAAACGACCGAAGAAACGAAGTGAAATGACATGAAATGGAGAAGGCGTGTGAGCCAACTCGAGTTAATCAAGCGCTAATCGATATTTATAGCCACACAAATATAAGTTACAGAAATGTGATGAGTAAGGAAAAAATGCACACACAATAACAGTCAAGGTTGATTAGTGAATAATTGACAAGGTCAAGATATAGCATGAGAAATATGTATAAATTGGTTTGTACAGAAGCTAGAACAAGTTATGCGAGCTTACATAGCAACCGATACTATAGTATCAATATGTGCCATAGAAATACCATAGCTCTAAAACCTGACAAATAACTGAATTAGATTATAGTATAACGAAAGTGAAATTACTTACATGCATTCTAAACAAACATAAGAATGCACAGTAAAGATATTTGAATGATTTAAGTTGATTCATCCGATTATAAATATACTAGTCTACATGATTATTTAAATGTCGTAACAGTGTAAATCTAAAAGAAATAAACTTTCGCTTAACCAGTGATCTAAATATATCTTTTTAATTAAGCTACTTCCTATTAATACTCCACTTTTATTCCATGTTAAACATTGATATTGTGTGTGTTGTTGTATCGACACATAACATACTGACATTTCTCATAAAGAAAAACCCACTTGTAGATGTCATATAGAGGATTCCAAATAGGTCGAACGTTTAGAATTATTCTGTAGATAACTATCATTTATATTTTTAATGTATAATTATTAAGTGCTTGGATCAGTTTATTTTTATGTTTGCCTATTTGTAAACTTTCATCTGACTTACAATTTAATGTTATATTTCTTAGTGTTTCAGATTTATCATTAATTGTTTATTTCTCTATTGTTCTGATTTTGTACCAATAATGACGGAGTCATGTATATATTGTAATTCCTTATTTGTGTTATTTGCCCACATGTATTTGAAGTATGTAACTGTATGATTTTTGAGTCATGGAAGAATAGAACATAATAAAAAGCAAATCTCTTTGTTATCTTCATCCTCTGACTGTAAAGAGCTAGTAGGCCAGTAAGCATTTAGATTTTCCTGTCATAATTCACGGTCACTGAGTTGTTGGTTAAGAGGTCGCTTTGTTATCGGATAAAGAGGTCCTGATGCTACAAGGCAATGTAGGCAAATAAGTCAACAATTAAACTTGACAATACAACAGCAGTCATAACAAATGCTCTGATCTCACAGGCCTTAATAAGTTCAAATTTTCTTTCTTTCTGAAGGTAAAACAAGTTTCTGACTTTATCAATAAAAGAACTTAGTTATGTGTCATTGTATTTTTAAAAGAGCTAACATGTTTCTATGAATTCAGCCAAATGTTGTACAACTGTAACTATTATTCGATCATAGGTGTCTTCGGAGCATTGTTCGTATATCATGGGACTATTGAGTAAGTAATGCAGTTGTTAGGAAACAGGTACTAGGTAAGGATGACAAATCAATTGGTGAAGTAGTGAAAGTTTATCAGTTGAGAAGGCTGGAACATGTGTAACGCATGCCCAACCACCGATTGCCCCAACGTGCGATATTTTATGGTGTAGAAGTAGGTTAAAAGAAAGCTAGGGGCGGCCAGACCAAAATATGGTACAAATCCATGAAGTCACTGACAAGTGGGCTGAGCCATGTTGGTAGGTGTAGATCACCTGGTTGGGATCCGCGAGACGATAGCAACCGATGGTTAGAGACCTTGAGTGACATAGCTCAAAATCGTTTGCAATGGCGCAGGTGCATCCACTCTTTGTGTTCTCCCAAATTCTAATCTTCTTAATTCTTCATGTACTATTTTTCTTCTTCCAAATTTATTTCACTGTATTATACTCCTTGAATAACATCTTCAAACCCTAATGTTTCCGATTACTGCTTGTACTTTACCACCTCTACCACAATGGGATTTGAATCGGCAATTGTATCTCTGAGTTAATGTAGTATGGAAACTTGAACTGATGTACTTAGGTACGAGGTTCTACATTGCTGCTGACTGACTGACTGACTGAATATAGCTTTATGCACACTTAATCAAGACACATGTTTTAAATCACTAAGAAAAGTGCCATATGGTAGAAAGTCTTGTAAACATATTATCCTGCTATCCGACATTAAAATGGACCAAAATTTATTGAGAAACCATATTTTTATACCTTATTTTTTAAATGATACCACTTCTAAATTTGATTGGAATGTTTTATGGAATTGTTTACATTTTGTCTGCTACAAAATAAATAAAACGAAATCAATTTGATTTATTGATTTATTAGAAATGATATGAATATGTTACTGTAATCTGTTTGGAGAAATAATATTTTTCAAAGATAAATTATAATTTCCTACCATCATTTCTGACACTTTCAATGGTAAGACTTTCGAAGTTCCTTGTTTAACCTTTTCTCATTATCCAATAGTTCTTTTGTATAAATTTTATAGGCTTCAAAATCCTTCAAATAAATAAACAATTTAATGAGGTATATTTAAATCAATTGAAGATGTTTTGTTAGTAAAGAAAAAAAATATATTTCCATTATAATAGGTAAAAGTAACTAAGTATTGAACAAATTTTGTCAATATACCACCTTAACACTTTATACGAATAAGCATTTAAGACATCAGTGAAAACATATGAATTATACCTTGATCAATTGATGTGAACAGAGAAACAAGAAGCCTTGACAAATTACGGAAGCTATTTTTAGGGACGTTATTTTATTTAATTCAAAGCTTGTAAAACAGTAACATTTATTTTTGTCTCTAGTCTATTCTATATATCATAAGCTTTCGTTTGATGTATGATTCACTACCATATCCCTTTTTTGTTCCAAAGCTATTGTAATTTAAACGTAATATTTTGTACTCTATTTTCTACGCTAATCTCCAGTTTTGGACATAATTATATTTTTCCTAATTGTTGTGCGTTGTGGTCTGGTTAGTCATCTATTTATGCATGTATCGTTTTACACGAATCTGAAATCGGAAACAAGGTCGAAACTACGAATAAATCGTGTAGTTTTCTCTCACTAGCGTTCTTGTCAGCCAATCACGTGGTAAAATAGCTTTCATTCCTCTACCCCAAGCAGTTGATCTCACTTCGAACTCATGCATATTAGCCTCAAGATTAAGTCAGCCAGCCTATCGCGTCAAGATCTGAAACTAGATTAGACAAGTTATCCTCTGCACAAAAGTTTGTAGATAGATCAAAGACGTAAAATTGATATTCAGGATTGAATTTAGATCAGTCTTGTGCGAATTGTTAAATGATCATCTGAACTCACTAGATCAGTATATAACACGGTGTTTAATATCAAAGATATCAAAAATATTAAGTTCGAGTTCAAATATGAAAATCAACACTGAGATGCAGGTATATCGAGCTGAAGAACTCCAAATAGAAGTAAATGCGAGTTCTAAATCACTTTGCTAGTCATAATCCATCTATTCTTTAAATTAAAATTCTTATTTTATACTATAATTTTTCATTTCAATAGTCACTTGTATCCACGAAGTTTATAAGAGATTTAAATAAAATGAAATCTGAATTTCAATGGTTAAGATCATGAGTCAATTCCAAAAGTTTATTGAACGTCGCATATATTAACTTCTTATAAAATTATTCTATGATTACTTAATTATATAATCAAATTTCATACTCGTATTGTTCATATCAGATCTACATTTTTAATCCCTTAACTATTATGATTATTACTTAAATATACTTTTACACCAATGATAGTGAATAGATATCACCCTATATATCCTCTTTATCGGAATACTATTGATGTATATTTATTAACAGAAAACTTCACATTCAATATGAAAAACGATTTTCAACGTTTTTATCTATTTCATAAATTAATCAAAGTTATATTTAGTGACTACTGTTAAGAAATAAAAGTAGCTAAGATAGCCTTGAACAGTTATTCAGTAATAAAGTTCGATAGACGAATAAATGTTATTTCATAAGTTTTTCATCAGTAATTTGTGATGCTTATAAAAATCATTACGCTATTTTGACAGAACATATTATAAATTTAGTTTTAAAACTAAAGAATGAAATACTGATGAATCCTACCTCGGCAAATATACCACTGATGAGTCTTGCTAATTGAACGCTATGTTCAGTTCCTAACCTATTCTCGTAACCCCCAAGCTAAAACTCTACACAGCGACCTGAACACAAAAGAAAATGAGCAAAATATGCGAGAAGCACTCTACTCCAAAGGTTCGTTCTAGTACAGAAAATATAGGGTTTTTATAGTATTTTAGATATCCTTGTGTTTCCCGAAGATTCTGGAATGCTACTAAACATTGTAGCAGTATAGTAATCATCCAATCAGAAACTCTACATGTGACTTTTCACTTTCTTGGTGTTTCTGGCTAAACTTCTAATGAACGCTGATTGGACGAAATGCTTTTTAGTGTTTCCTGATCCTTCCTTGTCTTTTGCGAGAAGTTTTCTGGATCACCCCAACATCAACGAATAACTTTATTTTTTAGTTTCACAGATTTTAAACAACGTTAAAAGAATAACGACAATAATTAAAACGGTACATTAAGTTACATTTACGACACGAAAAACATCCAAAATAATAACAAATCCAAACATATAAACATACCGTTAGTCACTAAACTTAAAGATTAACAAGAATAAATCAAAAGTTAATCATCATTTAGTTTTTCAAACCGAACTTAGTCCATTTTATTACGGATTGTCTGAAAAGTTTTTTTATTTTATTGATACAAATTTTTCTGATTATTCTAGTGAGAATATTTATATCTTTTTCAAGTTTTGACAATCTTGATAAAGAATATCAGGGGAATTAAGTTTCTTGTTTGTCGAAACATATCAACAAAACATATTGAAGTTGAATTTATAGCATTCTGAGTTAAAATCACTAATGTCACTTTTCAATTATTTGAGACATGCTGAACCAAATACACTAATTAATCTGCTTGATTTACAAATTCGTTTGCACTTTGTAAAGTAAGTTTATAGTTTGGCCTCAGGAATCTTGACATTCAGTCAAAATACATGAGTACACCAGTCATCTAACTTAATGTTTACATTTTTTTATTTGTCTGGTAGAATCTAACTATTACTATGGACTTAATAACATAGTAATAATTGGTATCTATCGGTCCATAGATGCGCTAGGTCTCTAAAAAGTTATTTTAAAGAGAAATACTATGTTGTAAAATTGTTCGAAACACTACTTCTAGTTAGAATCAAGATAAAATGCTGGCGAAAAGTCTAACAATATAAAAAATAACCTTGATAGAAGACCATAGTAAGGTTTGCACTCTAAGCGGTATTAAATTAAAACGTCGTCTACTATATCATTTTATTTTTAATTATTAGAAAAGATGAAGTTTCGAACGCCCTCAATCGTTTTTTTTCAACATTATAAATAATTCACAAGTATTTTATCTTGGTTTCACTTTCTTAACGAAACAATCTATAGGTTTTATGTTTTATTATTTGTTTGGTATTCATAGCTTAGTTTTGTTAGACGGGAGTGGATGTTTGTGGAAAACTAGACTTTTAAAATGATACTGTCCAAATGTTCTGGAGTCATTAATTAATTATTCACCTACTGATCAGTTGTTGTATCACTTATAAGTTATAATCAGGAAGTGGTTTTGTGGAGATCTTAATAATTTAATAGTTGGATTCATCAGTCATTTAAAACTAGAACATCATGGAAAACGTAGAAGCATTGGACGGTCATTTTGTTCTAGTATGGAACTCCTCTGTCGTGCGCATCCACGATCCTGTCCAGTGCTTTCAGGTTTTTCATGGTGGTCTAGATTTAATAGACTCATGGATTCAACTACTAAATTACTTATGGGTTAGTTGAGTACAAAGTACGACTTCTAATTTTTCATGTGTAGTCATGTAATTAATACATATTATCCTGTGGGTTTTACACGAATACAATAAAATGTTTATTAACTTGTTGTATTTGTTTTTTTGACCAGCTATTGCAGATAGAATAGGGTCATCAAATCAATAGTATTTAGAACTTTTGTGGTCATTCCCCACAGTCATTCATGTTATTGATTAAGGCGATGGTCATTAGTCTGTTATACTGGAAGTGTACTCATAATTAAGGTATTTTTTATTTTGATTTAGTGTATATATGGATGTAATAAGATCATAACATATCTCATTAGCATTTTTGTGCTAAGACAAAATAATTTAATGTATCAATATTTATTGGCTGTGTTGTAGCTTTCCCAAACAACATCGATGATCAATAAAGCCGTATTACAACAAAAATACTTTCCACCATATTACTTTAAATTTATTAGTAGGTTGTTGTCATAAAAGTGCAAAAATAATGTGTGTGTGTGTGTGTAATGTCATTATTTAAAAAAATTAATGTCTAAGCTAATATGTACATAATTTGACACAGCAATCCCGACTTTTGATAATAATAATAAACCACTAAAACAATAAATTTTATAGGAAATAAATTTATACTTGTCTTATTTGTTCCGTTTGAAGTTTAGAAATGTCAAGTTCTTCCTTTAAACGCTTTATTTGTTTATTAGCGTTAAATTCTTCCATTTCATTTCTGTGATTGAAAAGAAAATGTATGAAAAAAAATTTAAAGAAAGAAAATGAATCTAATCAAAATATCTTAACTACAATGTGTTGAACAAGAATTGATAATGTCACTTCTTCATAAAAATGTAAATTACTACTAATAATCTGGCTGTTAGTTATAGCTGTTTGTCAAGCGTTCAAAGGAACAAGATTAGAAATGACTTGAAGTAATAAAGAGACAGGACTGTGAGAAAGATTTATGACATCTAAAATAATAATGAAATATGTTGTATTTCGTCTCTTCCTGATAATTAAGTTTAAAACTCAAGTTTTAAGTGATTAGAAAGTGAGTGATTTTCAAGACTGATTCCCTCCTACCATTCATGATATGTCATCATGTTATATTATGTCATTTTATCACATATTATTCATTTTCCCGATTAGGGATCCCGTGCTTTATTTCAAATCATTTGTGGCGTCGTGTCAATAATTAGGTCAAGTGATCAGCCATCATTTAATCACACTGCATTACTGAATATCATTGATCGATTAATATTCTACTCATTATTTTCGACAGTTGAAAATTGAAAAAAAAAACGCACAAATTAAAAAAGCCACGTTGACATTCAAATCATAAAAATTGGATTTCGACATCTCAGATGTTTTGGTCAAGTTAATTGATTATACAATTATATATTCTAGGCAACTCAGAATGCATCCAAGTAGACATAAATAGATCGAAATGATTTTATGGAGTGAATATAATACATATTTGATGAATGAATGGCCTAACTTATGTATATGTTTTTCATAAATATAATTCTTGTTGACGATAACTCGTAATTACAAGTTCAAATTCAATAAGTGCAAGTAATAAACAACCTTGAAGTAAATATGATAAGTCTTGCTAATTGAACGCTATATTCGGTTCCTAACCTATTCTCGTAACCCCCAAGCTAAAACTCTACACAGCGACCTGAACACAAAAGAAAATGAGCAAAATATGCGAGAAGCACTCTACTCCAAAGGTTCGTTCTAGTACAGAAAATATAGGGTTTTTATAGTATTTTAGATATCCTTGTGTTTCCCGAAGATTCTGGAATGCTACTAAACATTGTAGCAGTATAGTAATCATCCAATCAGAAACTCTACATGTGACTTTTCACTTTCTTGGTGTTTCTGGCTAAACTTCTAATGAACGCTGATTGGACGAAATGCTTTTTAGTGTTTCCTGATCCTTCCTTGTCTTTTGCGAGAAGTTTTCTGGATCACCCCCCCCCAACAAAACATATCTTTATACGAATATTCGTCAAGATTAGAACGAATAGTTTGACAGATATTGGGCGCCGAGTATAAAGAAGTCATTATATATGTAAATTATATTTGAAATAATCTCAGCGATTGAAATTTAAATAATTCCAACGTTTCGTCCAGCTAACTTGTCTGGACTTCTTCAGGGTAATAATCAAAATCAAAATCATCAAAGAATTATATAGCTTTTTAACAATCATAACTGTACTTTGTTAAACCAATCAAATTTGGAAGTTGATTTTTGTAACATGGGATATAATGAGTCAGTTAACTCTAATTCCATTTGAAAAAGATTCAACTACATGGAAATAATTACCTGTAACAACATCTTTGAAAATTAAAGCATATGAATTCAAGGATTGTTTGCAAAATAAAACTGCTAGTATCTAAATGTTGACTTGACTAGGCTTATGCATGTTAGATCGCTTAGTGTTAGGAAAACTTACATTTTTTATTCTTTTGAAGACTTATCAATGTAGCTAAGTAAACAGTTCGATCTAAGCATATCTAGCTCAACCGGATCATACTGTCGGTATAAATCAATCGTTTCCAACTGTTTATTATGATAGCAATTATACACCAATATGTGTTAGATTCGAAGTCCTTCAAATGGCAGAAAGAATAGCTATTACAGATTAAAAATCCAGAGCTTAGCGTGTATAAAATATGTTCAGCCTCTTCAGCTATCATGGTCAAACTCAGGTCAAAATTTCAGTCATCTGAATTTTTAGACAACCTAGTTTGATTAATACACATATAAATTTCTATCATTTATCAACATAACTTAAATTCATCTTATTCAAATATTATTATTATTATTATTATTATTGTACTAAGCAGTAATATGTTTCTAAATGATTTCCACATATTGTGTGATAAACGAAAGTTAATAATTACAGCTAAGCAACTAAACTTATACCTTTCTACTAGGTAGTATTCAAATAATATAGTCATTTTATTCTTTAATCAATGCTGATTATGTAGTTCTGCATTAATATGCAAAAGATTTATGAATTTAATTCAACTATAAAACTATTATCTTCTTTCTTAGTTTTAGAATAGCCTACCATCAAAGGTGATTTGCTATTTAGAAGTCTCCATTGAATTAATAATAAAAATACAGCATTCATATAACAACTTACTCTCTTTGTTCTTTTAACTTATTTATGGTACTTTCTATTTTTTTCTTCTCTGCTTCCATGATATTTAGTTTAATACGTATTTCCTGAAAGAAAAGATAATTAACTTAGAATTACCGAATTAATTACCACGAAAATTGGTTGTTTTTTATTTAAATTTGTTGATCAAACGTTCTGATTTCTTTTTAGTTTGAATGTAAGTTCCATTATTACTGAACGTTATCTGAATTATATGTGTAGATCCTTCGATACTTGAGAGATATTCATCATTCTTAATTCAAAACATTTTCGTTATGTCCATTTATAGTAACACCGAGAAAAAACCATGGACTTTTAGTCTCTGTGATAGAAACTGTTGAATGAATATTACATTTTACTGTTATTATTCTAAACTTCTCAACAAGAAATGAAATTTCTAGATCCCGATAAGAATAATGAATGTTAAATGTGAGCACCCATTTATGAACCAGTACTACGCGTATATTTATATTGAATAATTGTTAAATGACTAAACTATTCATATTTGTGTTCCTCTTATCATAAGCTTTATTTTGACCTATGAACTGTTATTATACGATTTACTATCCTTGAGTTATGCCCTGTCTATCGATTGCTACATCCCACATATACAGCCGCTTTTGGCTAAATCATGTACAAATTTTATTTTCTATTTTATGATACGATGTGGTATGTCTGGTTTGTATATAAACCCAGTATATTTGAAATAAATGATTCATATCGCAGAGGCTGATATTGGTGTTCTGGACTTAACAGGCTGGGTTAGGCAAGAAGCCGAACCACAAGTACTCTAGGCTGCTCGTACGGGTTTTGTGCGTCATTGGTCTGATCGATAAATCATTGTTCTCTAATTGGCAGTATCATCACGTTATACATTAACAGGGCACAAAGGCCACAAGTTATAGCAGAAACCAGTCAATCAAGAGTTAATTTGTTCTGTATAAAGTCAAGTTGGAGGTTAGGTTTATTGGTAAGGAGCCCTATGGTTTCAGTTATACTCAAAGATATACATGGAAACCATGCTGAAAACTTTGTAGTACACAGAAGATAACATGAAAATAGTTGTTTAAGTTTACTTGACGTCTTGAGTTAATCAGCCAAATATAAAGCTTTTAATTAACATTCATTTTCTTTTACTGAACCAGATGAGATGGTATTCGGAAATTTGATGGTAATATTTTCATAAACACGTGTGAATTTGTAATAGATTCATGGAATAAATCACCACAAACCATATTTTCAAAAAATAATATCACTTGAGGATAATTTATGTCAAAATGCTTCTGGATGACATTTGTTGCGACAAGCAAATTATAACTCCTCATAAAGATTGTGATTTTTGCCTCTGAAAAACTTCAAGGCAAGATAAGAACATATTAAATTTCCTCTTACCAAGTTTCAAAATACCATTTGATATCTTGAAAGCAATCTTAATAAAATTGTCACTTCACAAAATCTTAATTACGATAATGATTGAGTTTGTACCCAAATTGTACAACACAAAATACTTGACTGAGACAATTTCTTAGATGACATAGACCTATCTACTACCAGGCATTCTTGGAGAGCAAATGTTTTGATATTTATTTATCTAAGTCTTTAAATGTCCACGATTTTACTGTTTAAAAAATCCTTAAATATAAATTTTTAATCAACTTTCATTTCAATTTTGTATAAATATCCAATAGTACTGCTCGAATGTAAGTGAAACAATTTGGAGTAAATTGAGTTATTCGGTTTAAATTCATGTGAGTAGTGATTTGATTCAGCGATCACAGATATATCTCCGTACTAACTTGTTAGCTGGTTCTGATGTTAGCAGTCTAATTATACTATAACTAAATGTCCTCAATAAAGTGCAATTAGTTGATAATGGGTTTGTTACTGTGTAATTAAATTCAGAATGTCTTCACCTCTAAATGATAGTCCAATCTATTTAAATCTGTGTAATTTGTTTCGTTCGGAGAGTGTAGAGCTCAAACCACTAAATATCTCTATTTTTCAAAATTTAGATTCTCGATTTATATTACCACTGTTTTATTGATATTTTATTAACTTTAGTGTAAGCATTCTATCATTTATCAAGAAAATTCTGGACTGTTGAACCAGGTAGTGTTTTTCGTGAAGAGTAACTGCCAGAATTTAATTCAGTTATAGAAATTAACGTACATGAATGATTTGTTGTCTTATTATATCTAACTACTTAGTAACCATTGAGTGATATTTCTAAGTGATCAATAACGTCTCATAACTGAGTATTAAAATGGGAAATTCATACCTTCCTGAATTCCAGACAACTAAGCCGAAATTATGTAGAATTTTGGTGAGTTCAATCAAACAGTCAAATCTTCTACACCAAGCACACAATAAGGATATATTTCAAATCGTCAAAGTAATTTTTATTAACATATTACCTACTTCAGTTAAATGCTTTTCATTCTCTAGATGTAAGGATAAGTTTTGTATTTCATTTCTCCACTTGACATCATCATTATGATAGGCTTGATTTACTTTTAAATATGAACTACAAACTGTCAATATTAAGTCTGTCAAGCAATTCAAGTGATTTTGAATTGTTTTGAGATTTTGTGTATATATTGATCTCATCTCGTTTGTTCGTTGTAAAAGTTTATTATTATCTTTTTTTAACTCCCTTTAAATACAGAAAAAACAGTACTATAAATTTTTTGCAACTTATACTGTGATTAAGCATCATATGACTCAAATAACTTAAATGTATAAAATCCATTGCAAGAGCACTGTAGACGAGTTGCATATTTTTCTATCTCTTTTATGTCAGGCAAAAGCAACTAGATATCGGAAAAGAGAAGTAAACGGCCAATAAAAGTACACTCACAAGGACCTACGTTGTTGATCTCGTCATGAAAATATTGTTATAGAATATAAAAACAAAACTTCAGGCATCCAAATAATGTAAATTCAAATGAATGCCTGTATACTTAAATTAACGCTGGGTCAGTTGACTAGCTAAGAATCCATTCTGAAAACTAAGTTTATCTGTCTTATTTATGTTGTTATTTCGCCAAGACAATTATTCCACCATAAAACAATGCATAAATGATTTGAATAAGATAAAATGCAGGTTATGGCAGGATTCAGGCAAATGAACATATGGTCAATAACATAATGTTTTTCCAAACTTTGCTTCTGTCTGAATTTTTCTCTTACAAACGGGACTTCGACGTTTTAATTAATAAATATTTTATAAAAATGTTTGCTTGTGATATTACTTTCTCAAGTGATATTTCAAATTTACCTAAATAGATGAATTTATATGCCATTTATTATTAGGAAAATTTATATAGTTTTAAGATTTAGACTTTTTACATGTTCTGAAATCTAGGTTATTTTATTGAAAAAGTAAAATAAAAAACCTTCAGTAGACGACAAGAATGCAGCTAAAAGTTCTGAATTTAAAGGATACAGAGTGTGTAGATCAGTTTTATTTCAAGGATTTCTTTAAAAAAACTCAAAATCAAGGCATTTAAAGTCTGAACTTGTTTAAACAACATATCGCTAACTAATTGCATATATTTTTAGTCCATGTTTAAAAACATAGCAACTAGCGCATTTCAAACACCCCGAGTAATCTCCTTAACATTCCAGTTGGTGAATATATCTTTTTGTCATATGATGAAAATCCACGCCACACTAAACCAACAGTGAATTGAATTTTATTACTGATAAGCTTCAAGACAAAGTTGATGGCAATAACTAGCTAAGTATCCGACATACGAACACATTATTCGGAGAATCTAAAACAGTGATTACCAGGGTAATATTTGATGAAAACGCCTGATGGAACCTTTATGAAGCATTTTATCTTCGTACTATTCATAAAGCCAATGTAAGTGAATACTCAATCGTATGTATAAAGCGGAGGTTTTGATCTTTTTATAACATGTTAACAAGTCATTATTGAACGCCACAGTGTCTTATTAATGTAATTCTTTTACCAAAAAAATCAAACTTATTACATGCTTTCTCTTTCAATGTCATCTGTCTATTAAAATTCCTTTAAATTGAGTCAGATCAGAGGGCAGTAAGTCCAAGGGTAAGGTACATCTCAACCAAAAAGATTGGTAATAAAAATAGAATTTCAAATAAAATTCAAACAAGGAAACATTCGATTCTTTTGACGGTCTTCATTTTTTCCATTTTGATAGGCCGGAAAATTCAAATTTGAGTTTGTTTTGAGTATGCAATCTTCAAACGTAATAATCTGTTCTGGAAGCACCTATTGTAGAAATTAATTTTAGTGACTTCGTTTGCATTGACTGTTTGATAGAAAGTATATTGTAATCTCAACCAATAGCATTTTATTGTCTCCAGATTAACGGCTCATCTGACATCATTGTCTTGTGCAGCCAAATCTAAGATTTACTTAGTTTATTGTAAATGAAACCTTCTAACATGACCATTCAAAATATACCCGTTACTATTTCGGAACTTATTGATTAGCTATGTTGTGAGTTTCTGTTAAATGGATCATATCCTAATAGAGTATTTTACCTAATTGACAGTAGAACTCTATGTTTTTTGTCCAGATATGATAGATTTTTTATTGATGGATATTTTTGTCAACACTTGTTGGAACCGTATGTATTCATTGACAGATGGCCAGATGTTTTTAATCAAGATAGGTCAAACTTTAGTGAGCAAACCATAAGGAAAGTCCACTTCTGTTTTTTACTATGATCACTGGATGACAGCAAAAGTTTATCTGTCAGTAAGAAAGATACCAAACTTGCTCTAGAACAAAATGGATTCTGTAATCGGATAAACACGATTCTATCCCTAGTCAAACAAACAAACAAACAAACCGAACAAATTTTTTGGTATAATCTAAAACGCTTTGAGAAAGTATAACCGGAAGAGGATCACAAGTTTTTAAAAAGGTTCCTACAAATCCATCGTACTACACAAGTTTCCGTACATTCTTAAACGTTACTGTTATAGCCCCAGTTCATGAGTTCCAAAGCAACGGATTTGCTTGGAAAAATGCAACCAATACCGTAGAGCTCAAAAGGATAATTTTTAGTCATATATTGTGTATATTCAACCACCTTCTTCCTAGATGCACAATGATGGCTATACAGCAGGTTTGGATAAAGCTAACAAAATCCATTTCAAGACAAACAAATCAATCACCTAACTGTTTTTTAATTACTAGAAAAACTGTTACTATTTCTATTACTTCGACATTTGTCCACATAATATCCTCTTGTCCTTTTTAGATGGTTTGTCAACTTAAACTCATGAATAGTTTTGTCGGTTTCTATGTTTATGACTAAACAACTTTAGGTCAGTAAACACTAGCTATAAACCCCTTAAATAAACAGATCACCGAATTTCACATAGATGTGTCTGTTAGTTTCTCACTTTGATTACATGTTAACTGATTGAAAGCGTTTGTATTCCCAGCAGTTGGAACAACTCGGGAACAACGTTTAACATTTAATTGGGAAAATGAAGACCGTCAAACGAATCGAATGTTTCTTTGTTTGAATTTTATTTGAAATTCTATTTTTATTACCAATCTTTTTGGTTGAGATGTACCTTACCCTTGGACTTACTGCACTCTGATCTGAGTCAACTTAAATAAATTTTGGCTGGTATATAATAATACAGGAGAAGGAATGTAATACATAACCTTTATCTTTTTTCAGATAAGCAAAATTATCATTGTCAGTTGCCTTAACAATATACTAATCACGACAAACCTGAACTTCCACAAATATTGTTTACAACATTTTGTATCTGAAGCCTCAACTGAAACCACTTTACTTTGACAAAATTCGTTCCCAGTTTGAACAGATGTATCTCTTCTCGTTGATTCAGTGTTTGAATTCTTACCTAGCGTTTTGCTTAGAAGTTCATAACTTAAATCATTTAATGTAGATCGCAACACGCGGTTATTGACTTCAGCATCGGAAACTCTGTAAATAGTCAACATGATGTCATTATTAAAGTTACTAGCCTCTGTTGGTATTCCAAAAGCTGCTGCTGAAGATCGTGATTTTTGTTCAGTTCGTTTAATAATTTACATTCAGCTTGCTTGCGACGTTCCATCTCGGAGTCAGCTCTTGATTTTAGAGTCATTATGAGTTCAGACTGCTCATGCAACCTGGATGTCACATCAACAGTCATTTTTATAACTGTGGTTAACTACGGCTAAAAAGTACCTATGGCATTGAAATGTAAAAACAAGTTGTTGCATTCATTTACCTATTGACAACTCTGAGATAAATTTGGTCATATTCCTTCTTATTCCATTACTTTCACGCCTGAATGAAATAGATTTTTTGCTTAACAGGCTACCATATTCAGTCGCACTGGATCACTGATGCTTTTAAGTGGGAACCTGTGTATAGTTAACGATAAAAAGAGAAAAATATTGGTAAATTAATGAGAGATACTGTCCTCAATCCTTAAAAATATGTCAAGCTAACTCTTAAAGGACTCCTGTGAGGTCACTTGAACTAGCTCATTCGATAATGAATTCCAACCTTTGCTTACTCTTAAGGGATAGAAGGTGCACCTACAGTCCGTTCTTCTATGTCGTGTCTCTAGTTTCTGAATGTTACTCCTAGATTGTGTTGAGACTGAGTTTATGCATGGATCTAATGGGATGCCCTGGAATGTTTAGGATGCTGTAAGTCATTGGAAGGTCACCTCTGAGACCCCTATACTCGAATGGGCAAATATTCAGCGATTTGAGGCGCTCCTTATAAAGTTTGAGTTCGAATTCCTGAACTGACTTCGTGGCTTGTCTTTGGATACGTTCTAATGTATTCTTATACTTTAGAGTTGTGGATACACTACATTCTCATACTCTAAAGGGAGTCGAATAAGACTGTTAAAGAGCAAGTGAAAAGTTCTCCCAACAAACTGGCGGAAGTATGCTTGAACGTTACCAGTGCAAAATTTTCCCAAAGGCAGTTTCAGCTAGCGTAAGACTTCAAATTATTGGCTACAAGCACATCGAATCTTTTCCAATTTGGAAGACCTCCAGAGAGGGGTTTCCCAAGTCCTATGTGTGATCTGTTACATGTCTCAGAGGAACTACTTTACATTTTCTAGTGTTAAAAGTAAGTCCGTTGTCACCCGCTTAACTTCGAATTCGAGTCTTACCCCCCTGAAGTGCCAGTTTGTCATCTTGGTTGTTATAAGAAGGGATTGTGTGGAGATTTTAGAAATTTCACTGGTTGAAATCATGAATCCATTGAAGCTAGACCACCATGGAAAACCTGGAAGCACTGGACGGCCGTTTCGTCCTAGTATGGGACTCCTCAGCAGTGTGCATCCACGATCCCGCTCCTCGCGAGATTCGAACCCAGGACCTATCAGTCTCGCGCAAGGCGCTTAACCAACTAGACCACTGAGCCGGCATCCAGTTGGTTAAGCGCCTGGCGCGAGACTGATAGGTCCTGGGTTCGAATCTCGCGAGGAGCGGGATCGTGGATGCACACTGCTGAGGAGTCCCATACTAGGACGAAACGGCCGTCCAGTGCTTCCAGGTTTTCCATGGTGGTCTAGCTTCAATGGATTCATGATTTCAACCAGTGAAATTTCTAAAATCTCCACACAATCCCTTCTGATAATAATAATCATCTGCTCACTAGTGACTGACTTCAAGAGATACTCCTGAAGTTCTAGTGAGAAGCCGTTACCAGTGGAGTTCAACCAGGTCTGTTGTGAGATATCAGCTCACTGAAGACAATGGTGTACGGTGGCGCAACTTCGTGGATTGGTTGAAGTTAGACATTAACACCGTTGGATGCCGGCTCAGTGGTCTAGTTGGTTAAGCGCCTTGCGCGAGACTGATAGGTCCTGGGTTCGAATCTCGCGAGGAGCGGGATAGTGGATGCGCACTGCTGAGGAGTCCCATACTAGGACGAAACGGCCGTCCAGTGCTTCCAGGTTTTCCATGGTGGTCTAGCTTCAATGGATTCATGATTTCAACCAGTGAAATCTTGGTTGTTGTAGGGCCAGTGAAATTCCACTGAGCCCTAGCCAAATCATCCGGCAGTTTTGTCATTGCTTATTGAACAACTCATTGATCCTCGTCGATGTCAAGGACAACAAACGCGCATCAGTTAATCGTACGCTATGGACTGGCCCATGCGGCAGTGGTCTTACTTTCGCTTATATCTACCTTAACTAATATATTTCTTTAATAACGTCCTCTGTGTTGTGCAGTCTTCAAAGCATCTATAGTACCTTGATGCGTCGATGGGGTGGTCCACGTATGGTGCTGACCACGAGGTGTGACTTCGACGCTAGATGGTTCGTCACACCATCCCCGTCTAACTTGAGTAGGCCTCTAATCATTTCGACATAGATCATCTACGTTGGTTGCCAACATTGTAAACTTATTGCTAGAGTTTCACATCGTCGGTGTAAAATAATAAGTCAGACGATACCCTCTGAGAAAGGTTGTTTATATAAACCATGAAAAGAAACCAATCTAGCACTGAAATCTTGAGGATCCCAATATAACATTCTTTATCCCGATAAAATGTCAAGTTCACCATGACTCTAAAGCGTCGTTTATTTAGATATGAAGCAATCCATTCTGTTGACGGTGACTTTATGCTGAGCACTTTGAGTTTATCGACGAGGCATTTATGGTTGGCCCTATCAAGAGCTTTTGAGAAATCAAGGTATATAACATCAAACCCCTCCTTGCAATCACGGATTTTTGCCCACTGTGGTCAGCAGGTTGGTTACACAAGAGTGACTCTTCATGAAACCGATCTGTTGTGGTAGAAAGAAGTCTATAGATAATAAATATTTATGTAGAAAATCGTATATAATGGACTCTGTAAATTCTGCGGGTGTTGGGAGAAATGTTACTAGCCGGTAGCTTGAAGGTGTGGCGGTTAATAAATTTCCAAAATAAGAAGTTCTGTAAGTCTTCGGCATTGGATGCTGACGTAATTACTTTTAATGGACACACCTAGCTGAAGGCGCTTCGTCACGCGTCCGAACCAAATCACGGGTCAGTGCGCCGTGATACACACCCGTTGAAACGTTAGCCAGCTCAAACAAAACGCTTCCCGATATATTTATAGTCTCCCAAATATATCTTCAAACCACTTCATTTCTGACTTTTGATGTAACTCGGTTGACATACTACGATCATAAGACTCTATCAAACTCCTAACACCTGTGACATCCTTAAAGGTTTATTGCGTCAGTCTTTTCTGAAAATTGGTGTAATATTCACCACCTTCCGATTTCTTGGGGTCGTACCTTGACTTGGCAAATGTTAGAACATCACACAAAGCAGTTTACCAAGATTGGAAACGTTTCCCTCAATATAGAAAAATAAACCATATCCAGGCCAAGAGACGTGTCCTTGTTTAAATGCTGCAGTTTCTGATACACTAAGCCAGGCCCAGTTCTGAGGGTTCTTTCGAGTTTCAGGTGAAGCTCTCGTCGGCGCAGTTTGTATAATGTTCTGTCAGGTGCGTTGTGCCATCATCGTCGTTGTTGGCCGATTCGTTAAAACCTAACAATATGTATTGTGGCATATGGCGTCCGAAATGTGATGCTGATGCACAGTTTACTATGCTCTAGCACCAAACCGACTATTTGAGCGAGGAAACAAAAGTGGGTAGAAAAGCGTATCAGGCTACCGAATGAAATACAGAAATCTCATCCGTATAGACGCCAGTCTATCTTCAGGAAAAGGACCAGTTGAACCCAACGAAATCGACTGACCTTCAGGTCACCTATGGTTTCCGTCGATTGATTCTTTACCACATCACGTTGGCTCTCTATATCAATAAGGCAACTCTGGTTTTCGCTTATCGAAGGGAGGTCGCATGATGAAATATGCTTTTCTGATTGGAGACGAATTTATACATTTGCCATACTTGATAATCGAGTCTATGTTCTCTTACTGCCTTTGTGCATCGTTTCCTTTCTTCTTTGAAAGGCTTATACGTAATGCCATCACTACCTCGCTTGCATTCCTCCTTGAAATACCTTCTGCATCTTAGCATTCGAATAGTGTGATTCTTCATGACTGTGTGTTGCTTTTAATATTTGAAGAAATGGATAAGTTAATTGCTTGATGATCCAGACAGTGTGAGAATACCAGAATGTATGAATAGAAAGAAAAACGGAGATAATAATAAGCGAAATAGGAAGTACTTACTGGTTATCGTAATAATAACAGTAGGCAAGTTACGAGACTTTCATCAGGCACAGCTGATCCGGGCGGGAGATAATAAAACATGAGCGAGTACGTGTTTGTCAAATCTACACTTGAAGCTGTCCATTGAGGAGTCTATGGCCACTTCAACTCTACGTTACGCGTGCGTGAGACTTAAGGTGAAAAAGTGACGGCGCGCCATGATTTTCACTCCTCGATGTACAGTCTTTCGGATGTTACCTGAAGTAGCGTGGCGATGTTCTGGAAGAATGCTTGTGTTGAGGTGACTTGGTATGCTGAATGTGTTTTTGAGTTTTGGACAAATTTAAGGTTATTGAGTCAAGTTGTCTTCCCATAAAGTGGAGAGTTGCATTTACTTTGGCTGCATTTCCTATGTAGTTTCAGCTGGTGCTAAGCTCTCCGGTTACTAGCATGAGATTGCACTCTAAGGAGACAATCGGTAGCGTACTTCCATGGAGGACGTAAGTTGTATGTGTTCTGCGTAGTAAAATGGTCATCTTATATTTTGACAGTTTTAACGTATTGCCTACTGTTAAATTTTCATTGTTTTAACGTCCCTTTAAAATTCAAGTAGGTCTTTTTCAGATCTTACCATATCCTGATAACTTTCATGTGTGAAGGAATTTCAGTTTTCTTAGTACTAACCCGGGAGTTAGTTGAATATTTCCCGGATTGTCAGGTTAAACTCTTGTAGGTTTTTAGATTAACTGGTCGATGAAGTTGTGATAGAGGTCATTCTTCGAGCTATTCTAGCCATGAAGGGCCTCAGTTTGGTTCCCTCGGTTCATGAAGTTTACAGCCATCAGGTGCGAAGACAAAATGCTCGTGAAATGTAACAGATGAGGTAGCCAGAGTATGCTCATCAGAATGTTGGTGGAAAGGCCGATACAACCTGATGGCCATCGCGTCCCTGAGCTGTCCTGTCCACTATACACCAGTTCAGGCACTCCATGAACCATCATACTGGTTCTTCCTTTGGTGTTTATTGATCTGCTAGTAACATCACTCACTCTAAATGGTCTCTCCTTTCCAACTTGAATCTATGGGAACCATTGCATCAACAGTCTCTGAAACGTTAGAAGGACTTCCTCTGTAATATGACGTGAGTCTCAAATCACTCCTAATTGAGAGGAATTACCTTTCTATACGTTTTGGACCGTATGTGG